GGTAGAGAAATCACAGTCTTCAGTCCCTTATCCAGAACACGTGGGGCTCAGGTTATTTTGGATTTTAGAAAGGTGATATGGTGTAAATCCTGGTCACTAGGTAAGCCTTGGAGACCTGGTGGAGCAGTGGTTTAAGCGTTTGGCTGCTAACCAAAAGGTTGGCAATTCGAATCCACTAGCCACCTCTTGGAAACCCTACGGGGCAGTTCTCCTCTGACCTATGGGGTCATGAGTCAGAATCAACTCGACAGCAATGAGTTTGGTTTTTTTGACTTATGTAAGCCTCAGCGCAGTCCAGGGCTGCACTTCATAATCTGCCATGTCTACAGTAAAACACGAGTATTCGTACAAGCTAGGATTCAAATCAAAGACCATCAACTGCTTCAACACAGTCAGGTCAAGCTATGCTGCCCATAATGAGTTTGCAGTTTTCTGAGCTTCAGGAAGTCTGGAAACGTGGGTGCGTTTGTGATCACGCCTCGCAAAGATAACAGAAGGATATCTTTCAGGAAGAAAGGTACTGGGCCCAGCACTGCACGGGGCCTCATCAAGACAGAGACGAGGGCTGGACAGTGTGCTTTGCGATGGTGTTACCTTAGGACATTTTACCCTGCCTTTTAGGAGGAATTTTGAGAAGCTGACTTTACCACCCATCCGTCAGTGTGTGGCGACTTGCGTGTTGCTGTGATGCTGGAAGCTATGCCACCAGAAATGCAAATACAAGCAGGGTCGCCCATGGTGGACAGGTTTCAGTAGAGCTTCCGGACTAAGACAGTCTAGGAAGAAAGGATGGGAGATCTACTTCCAAAACTCAGCCAACGAAAACCTTATGGATCACAACAGAATACTGTCTGATATAGTGCTGGAAGATGAGCTCCCCAGGTTGGAAGGCCCTCAAAATACACAGTGGCCTCAACAATGGACTCAAACGCATCAACAATCCTGAAGATGGTGTAGGACTGGGAACCATTTTGTTCTGTTGTACTTGGGGTCACCACGACTCAGAGCCGACTCAAGGGCAGCTGACTACATGGCTAAGTGGAGTCTCCACAAGGCCGTCCAATGTCTACTTCAGCCCCTGCCTCAGGATGCAGGTTTGTGTTGGCGTCTTTTTTTTGGATTTCCCTCTTCTTTTGGAAGCGTCATCAGATTTCCCCTTGGGAGCTACTTTTCCACCATCCTGTGTGGCCCTGTGAGGTGGCAACCCCACGTCCTGCCTTCTGGGCCAATGGCCTGTCTTTGTGAATCTGAAACTTGACCTGGGGAGGCCCAGGCGGGGGAGGGGAGACTGGGATGGAGTCATGCAGGGCTGAGACTCTGCGGGAGTCTTCCTTGCTTTCCATCCTCAATCCCGCATGCTCATGAGCTGCCCAGTGCCCTTCCGTGGAGTGAGCTCACTGTCCCCATAGCTTTCTTCCTCTCTGCCACGGAACAGGGTTTTCAGCTGGGCACACGGGTGCGGTAATACACCTGTTCCTCACTTACTGACTACCTTGTTATCCCACATTTTGCATCTACGACAACAGCAGAAAAGCTACTGTCTGTTTTGTGCATTAATGATGTACATCTGGCAGTAACCCTCTTGTGACCAGTGGGACACTGAGCACCCACCTACATTTTCCACCTCTCAGGTCCAGAGGGACATATGTGTCCCATAAAATATTTAGTGATCTGATGTGGTCATCCTCCATTTTTTGATGTAATGACTTGGTCTTTGGAACCTACCCATGTTGACATGTGAGGAGTGGGTGTACAGACATTTCATGCCCCGTCAGGGATGAGCTGTTCAGTGGGCTGCCACGAGCCCTACTGAGGGAGCCCGAGGGAGCCGTTCTCGAAGACGGCTGGAGCGTACCTTCTCCTCTCTCCATCCTGTGTCCGGGGGTTCCTGGAAGGGAGATGCTGCCTTCTGGGCCATGAGGATGAGGTCTCACCCAGGACGAAGTGGGTCAGGAGCTGGAAGCAGTCTGGGATCCTGAGGGCTCGGAGGAGCGGTGAAGCCACACAGCCTGGACGGTCACCTCCTGATCTGATTACATGAGGGACCTACATACTTACGTGTCCTAAAGCTACTGTTATGTTGGGCTTTCTGCAACTCAGAGACCAAACCGGTGCTAACTGATATGTGTGTGTGGTGTGTGTGTGGTACATATGTGTGGTGTGTGTGTGGTGTGTATGTGTATGTGGTGTGTGTATGCATGTGTGGTACGTATGTGCGTGGTGTGTATGTCTGTGTGGTGTGTACGTGTGTGTGGTGTACGTGTGTGTGGTGTGTGTGTAGTGTGTATGGTATGTGTGTGTGGTGTGTATGTGTGTGGTTGGTATGTGTGTGTGGTACTTATGTGTGTCATATCTATGCGTGTGATGCGTACGTGTGGTGTGTGTTTGGTGAGTGTGTGTGGTAAGTGTATTTGTGGCATGTGTACGTATGTGCTGTGTGTTGCGTGTGTTGTATATGTCTGTGTGGTGTGTGTGTGTATCTCTTATTTGCTGACACACACTGGCCAGGAATTTACCAAATGGAAGGGAAAAATTAGGTTGGAGAGCAAAGACCAAGGGTGTAGATTTGTTTTATTTCTGTAGAAAGAGTGGACGTGTGTGCCCAGGCCAGGTGGCAGCGTACAGGGGGCCCCTGAGGACTGTCCCGGCAGCCCGCCCTGTGGCCGCATTCCGCTATCGACACCACGGCCCGCTGTCTCCTGCCAGCGCCCTGTGCTGTGATCACACGGCTGGGCTTTGTGCGAGGGGGCGCACGCACACACACACGCACGCACACACGCACGCACACACACACACACAGACGGGTTCTCGGCGGGCAGCACTGGGGTCGCCCCCTCACGAGGAAGTTGCGTCATAGCCCCAGGGGCTGCGGCAGCCCTGAAACAAAGCCCAGGACAGAGGACTAAAGCTCATCTGCAGACTTGCTGATAACAAGCTAGAAAGTCCAAAGGTTACTGTTATGCTAGAAAATTATCACACTTCATAAAACTCAGATTTATTCAAAAAACCCTATTGAGAAAGTCCGGAAAGCGTAATAAATATCTGTACAGCGCCGCCCAGCACAAACACACCACAGCGCGGACATGACGCTCGTCTGTAAACGCAAATGCCAAGCTCGTAAACAAAGTGCTGGGTCACAGTGTCCAGGGAGAACGGCTCGCTGGCCACCAGTGACCACGGGCCCGCAGTCCGCCGTTCCCCGCTGGCGGGAATTCCAGGTGGTCCCTGACCGCTGGGGAGTCATCTTCCGGCCTTCCTCGTCCCTCCGGGACTACACCGTCCTTTTCCACTCCAGAACTGTCCGGTCTCTTTGAAAGGCAGAGGGCAACAAAGCCGTGCGGGAAAGGCCATGGAGTGCAAATCGAATTTCATCACGCGTTTCAGGGAACCGGCAAAGCCAGCAGCCAAAACCCCAGTGTGCGGCTTGAAAAATAACACCATGTGAGGAACTCCACCGGTTAACGTTAAGTACCAGCATCATGTAAAAAGTCAAACGGCTTCCACATGTCACCACACACAGTTTAAAACCACACACAAATCTCACCCAAGGACAAGTGGAAGGAATCCTCACCCTTTGCCGACGGTTTGATGTTGTAGGCTGAATGTGGCAAAGCCCCACGCTGCTGGGGTGAATCAGGCGTTCCCCGAAAACAGCAGGGCGGTCGGGGGGCGGGGGGCGGTGAAACCCTAGCTTGGTGGCAGCTAGGGGGTGCCGGGCAGGGGCGGGGCTCGGCTCGCTCGTGACCAAGTCTGTGGTGTTTACGACCCAGTGGGGATCAGATGATCCGTGCGTCTAGGGGGAGCTATGTGACCTTCTGTGCATTATATCGTTTGTGCAAATCACTTGTGTTGAGTGTGGAGGTGTGCCGGGTATGAAATGGACTTCCGTTTACAGAGTCAGCTGCTGATCAAACACTTCCACTTGCTGTTTCACTGAATGTGTTTACGAGTTTACAATATTATAGCCTCACGTCTTTAGGCTGAATTTCGTGGAAGGATTTCAAGTATCACTTTGTTCTGAAGAAGGTGTGGGGAACGGAGATATTTTACAGACGTTCAAGCAGAGCTGGTTTGGCAGAGAAGCAGCCAGTGTTTCCTGGTGCACGTGGAAACGTGTGCAAAGGACAGAGTTTGGTGCGAGCCACGTCTTAGGGACCCCTCCAGAGTTCTCGCCCTTCAGAAGGTAAAAGGCTGAATAGTCTGCAAAACTAAACGGCCGTGAGTGGTGCCATCTAAGCGCACACACAGAACGCACGAGGCCGACGCCCTCAGAGGGGCGTTCTCTTTGATTTCTTGGCCCCCTTGCTTCACCAGAACTTACTCTTTGAAACAAGCTCACGTGCACACAGATCCTTTGCAGATTTCTAGGACAGAACCTTTGACATAAGAACTGTCTGGTTGGTCATAGGTTTCTACCGAGAAACGAAGTAATTCAGGGCTGAACAGAACCATGGCGGGTAGGGTCACCTTAACCTTGGGAAAAGCATGTCCTCCTGAAAAAATCCGAGCATGCCTAGTGGGCTCTGTGGGACCTGTGTGTGGGAACCTACACCCCTCCTTGAATCTCTGTGGGTCTCTGAAAGCCCCACCGAAAAAGGAAGGGTTCTTAACCAGGGTTATAGTTTAAGGTCAGGAAACAATGAGGCCAAGCTAAGCGGTTATTTTTCAGAGTTAGATACTAGAGTGAATGGAAATGGAGGAAGAAAAAAAATAAAAAAACCTGATCGTCATTGAGCTGATTCTGACTCACGGCGATCCCATGTGTGTCAGAGTAGAACTGTGCTTCACAGTTTTCATTGGCTTATTGGTGGAAGTGGATCGCCAGGCCTTTCTTCCAAGGCACCTCTGGGTGGCACCTCCAACCTTCCGGTTAGCAGCTGAGTGAGCTAACCCTTTGCACCGCCCCGGGGCTCCACTGGATAATTAATGAATAGGTTTGTATTTTAAGGTCAAGAAACAGACCAAGCTAAGCAGGCTTTTTTTTTTTTTTTTGAGTTGGTTCTATAGTGAACTGGGACGGAGGGGCAGAGACACCATGAAAACCTGGCCCTAATGTAGCAGGCGCCTCTCTGACTCTCCTGCAGGGCAGAAGGAGCTACTTCTTAGGGCTGGGAAGACGCGTCAGCCAGAACAACAGGCAAAGAACACCCTCCTCTGTCAGCCTGGTCAGGTGGGTTCTCCGGCTGGGCCCACGCTGGGTGGGGTGCCCACACGGGTCCCAAGGAGGTTCAAGAACACAGCGCCTGCTCTTCTGTGGCTGAGCCCTCGGGGCTGGGCTTTCCCTGGGGGCGCTTACTGCACGACTTCATTTAACAAGGCGACCACAGCAGGGCGCACCAGCGTCCCCCGGTATGCACACCACGCCAAAGAGCACAGTAAGTAGCACTTAATGACCGAAATCGCAAAAGTCAATTTAAAGACAGGGCTGCGCCACAGAAACACCAAGCGCAGCACGCACACAGCTTCTGCAAAGCGCATGAGTGCTGGCAACGAGGCGTCTCCACGCCCCGCCCCAGCCCGGCTGCTCCTCTGGGGTGGGGGCTCGCCGTGCCCTCCTCTCCCCCCAGACTGGGCACAGACTCAGCCACGGCACCCACAGGAGGCAGCAAGCTCGGCAAACGCAACACTCGGTTTCCTGCAGATCAGAACACGCGAGCAGTCACGCCTGAGCCCTGCTCTGGGCAAGGCTGACAAAGGGTCTTCCCAAGCCCAGAGCTCTCAGGCCTTCAGTGACCTCGGGGTGACTCCAAGTGGGGGACGGCTGCCCCTGGAGAGAAACGAGCAAATGGGGGAGGCAGGCTGTCCTGGCTCCTTCCTGGGGTCCCTCTCTTGACTCCTGTGAAATGCAGACACCAAGGCAAAGGTCAGAAAGCCTGGTCTTGGGGGGCTCTTCCTTGGACTGGATTTGAGGCAGCGGGAAGGGGGATGCACGGCCCCTCGGTAAAAACAACTTTGGATTGTTCTGGAATGGAACTGGGCATCTCCTTCTAGACGGCGGGGTGCCAACCCCACCACTCAGCCTGCGGGGAGTACTAGCACAGTCGCATCCAGCCCCTCCCAGGGAAGGTTCTGGAACAAACTGGGTGCCCTGTTCCTATACGGACACTGGCCTTTCCGTACTCACCAGGACGCCAGTGTTGGAAGCTGACCAGATTACTGGCTGAACAACTGGAAAGGATCCCTCCGCATAAACGGGGGCATCCTGTGAAAGGACCTGGATTGTGGCAGCACCCTAAGGGTGTGAGTGTGTGACCCTACATGCGAGAGTTCATTGGTTCTGCTGGGATGACGGGGGGTGGTCGGCCCAGCGGGGCCCTGGGGCCCCGGGTCGGAGCTCCCCAGGCGGACAGGGGAAGGTGGACAGCGAAGGCGGCTCTGCCTCCCTGCGGACGTGGTGGCACCCTGTCCCCAGTCTGTGCCCAGAGGACGCCCTGTGGGAGGGCCGGCTACAACCGTGTGGACGTCAGTCTCTTCATGCCGCGGCGCTGCGCCAGGCTGGACGAGAGCACTGGCTCCAGTCTGGGTGCCTGAGGTGTCCTGTTCAGCGCGAAGTAGGTGGCAGCCATGGCCCCCTGTGGAGCAAGGAGAGGGCGTGAGCTCTGGGCGCAGCGCCTCAGTGTGTGGCCAGGGAGCTGCCCCCACCGGCCTCATGTCCCCTTGGGAGAGCGGGGAGCCTCCCTCCAGGAGAGCCCGCGTATGATCGCAGTGATGTGCAGTGCACTGGGGGGACAGCGGGGACCCTCCCTCCAGCCCGCGTATGCACACCGAGAGGTGCAGCACGCTGGGGGCAGAGGCCGGCACACAGAGGCCCTCCGAGAGTAATGCGAGTGCATTGTCATTATCATGACCACCCACCATTACACGTTCACTTCTCGCTTCATTGTGCTGTAAGTTGTGGATCCGTGTTTTAAACCGACACAGACCTCAGGAGATCAAACGACATGGTCCCCTGTGCTGTGACGGCCGGGCCAGGCCTGCCCTTGGGGGTTGACTGGGCCCACAGAGCACTCTCGGCACCATCCTGACTGTCGCCACTTTTGAGCAGTTTGGACTGACCTGGATAACTGACTGGGTTTATCCTAGAGTAGCTCTAACTCTTTGGGAAGGATCTAGAAGTGACCACTCCTAGCTGCATAACTGGGGGTAATCCAAGCTCTGGATGGCCAGGGACAGTTCTGCCCAGAATACAGGGTTTCCCGAGAGATGACTGCCAATTTGAAAGTCAGTCACTTGTGATATGAGAGTTTTAACACAGTTTGTGTCCTTTACCTGAGGATTGGGCCGGTGGTCACGGGCTCCCACATCCTATCGGGATGAAGTTACAGGTGCCTCAAATAATAGTCACTGTCTGACCTTTACAGAAGAATTGTGCAGACCTCTGGTCTAGATCCGGGGGCTTCAGAACTTTGAGGGGCACAGGCCTGGCGTATCCAGGGTATTGCCCCGGCGCTGGGCACGTGGTGCCACCGAGCAAGTTCTGTTAACCCCGTACGGCCCTATGTCCTTCCTCAAGCATGGTGATGTGTTGATTAAAAGATTAACAAACTTGACGTGTATTTCTGAGCCGATACTATGGTCAAGTTATCTACAACAGGGGTGTCATCCGTTTGGATGGGGGCGCAATTTTAGTGTGTGCTGCAGGCACCATTTTCTGCAGATCTGCTGCTGGCTGGACCGGGTTAACAGAGGCTGTCCAGTGACGCCACGTGCCCAGGGCCGGCGCAGCACCTGCCCCACCTGCCGGACCCTAGTTACGCCTCTGCCAGCCTCCGCCCTTCCTCTCTCCTCTCTCTCTCTCACACACACAATGTAGCTACCAAGGAAGGTTAACAGAAGCTGTTACTCAGATGTGAGTTTTGTGTGGAAACGTGTGTGATAAACAGATAAACATTTGGGCCCCTTTCTGGCTGCCCTCCCGCATGGTGTCACCTCTGTGGACTAACTGAGAGGCGGCACCATCACCACTCCCGCCATCTGATTCTCACGGTTGCGGTCGGCACCTTCACTAGGTGGACGTCTTGTCGGCTGAGCTGGCTTTGGGACAAGTATTCTCTGTTCACAATCCACGGGTGCTTCAGCACCTGAACAGCCGTCAGGCGCTGGTGGGGGTCCACGTGGAGCATCTTGGATACGACGTCCTGTTGGGGGAGTTGGGAGAGGAGAGAAAGGAGTGCTGGGTCAGGGACTCCCGGGCGGAACTCTCCTCCCACAGGGCAAAACCGGACCGCCGTGCTGAACTGAGGCTTTGCATTTTGGGGCCAACGGGCTTTAAGTGTTAACTATCACCCACTTAGCGTCTCATCTCAGTCTTTCTTATATTTTATGAAAGAGTTTCTGTCTAAAGACAAATCAAAGTGCAAGTGCCGAATGATACGTGTCGATTACTTAGACATTATTTTGGTAAAGATGATATTCTTCGCAAGTTTATGGCCTCTAGGTATAATGAATATCCGCAGATACAAACCAATTCATGATGATGTATGTAGTTACATTTTTATAATGACAATTCACAAAAATTTACTGCTAACCACAAAATCCATAATCTGTAGTCAATACATACAGAGCCGGAATTTGCTGGGATTGCCTTGTTTTCTCGGGGCTTGTCAGGGTGCAATCTTAAAACGTTTCTATCGCTCATTTTAGTGGAAAATATTGGCATTTTCCCTCTCTGACAGGCTTCCCCTTTACAGGGTTCTAGCTTTTACTGGTTTTACTGTACCCATAAACTCATGTTCAATAAAGGTAATTTTCTTCACTGTAAAATAATATCAATAAAAATTCCTAAAATTCATTTACATACAGAGCTCTACTTTAGCGATTTATGTTTGTATGGTTCTTCACGAAAATGTCTTGACACCCTTATATCTTCTCTTATGAAGATACATCTTCATAACCATCTGAGGTAGACAGCAAATATTCTCTCCCCCATATTACAGATGAAGAAGTTGGAGTCTATAGTGAGTAATTACGTGCCCAAGGAAGACCTAAGACGAGAATCCACGTTCTTCCCACTGACCTACTCTAGCTCCTTCAGCGTCCTCACTCCACTCAGGAACAAAAGAAGATGAATTCAGTCTATGCACGACGTGAGGGTGAACTACTCGATGGGATTTCTGAACACAGAAATGCTGTCTACTACAATATCACTTTTCTATAGAGAAACCCTATGCCTTTTACTATCTGATAACATTAATTTTGTTAACTTCTTGAAAACAAATTATCTCCTAGAAGTATTACCGTTCCCATGTTCAGGTGTAGAAATGAAAGCAAGAACCTTCTTGACCTCCTCAAGACCTCGCAGTCAATCACATTAAGGAAAGAAATACATTTTTATACAGTAAATGCAGGATGCTGATAAAGTAGAAGTACTCATCAGTAGGCGCTGCCTAGTTTTGGGGGGTTGGGGTTTGGCTTTGTGGTGAGCGCAGGAGGGAAGAGGCACAGGCGAAGTGAGGGAGGGGAATGTGTGGATGTGGCAGGGATGAGGGGGAAGGGACAGGAGGAAGTCGGTGCATGAACTGGGAGCCACTGACCCCTCTGCCCACCACAGTGACCTTGATAATACACCCTTACACTGGACCTTCCTCTTCTCTGATAGCTTCTCCCCGCTCCTCCACTCCTGCTTCCTGGGATCACCCCCACTAGACCACCAGCACCCAGGTCCTTGTCTCAGGCTCTGCTTTGGGAACCCAAACTCAGACAGTTCCCATCCTCGTTTTGAGACAGAAGTGTGTGGAAGGAAGTGCTTGGCGTGCCTGCCATAATCCTCCTCATCTCCTCTGCTATCACCTCCACCGTCACCTCCGCCATAACCTCTCTTCTGCCTTCAACTCTGCCATCACCTCTGCCCTCAACCCCGCCATCACCTCTCCTCTGCCTTCAACTTTGCCATCACCTCTGCCTTCAGCCCCGCCATCGCCTCTCCTCTGCCTTCAGCCCCGCCATTGCCTCTCCTCTGCTTTCAGCCCCGCCATCGCCTCTGCTCTGCCTTCAACTCCACTATCACCTTTGCCATCACCTCTGCCTTCAACTCCGCCATCACCTCTCCTCTGCCTTCAACCCCGCCATCGCCTCACCTCTGCCTTCACCTCTGCCGTCACCTCTCCTCTGCCTTAAACTCTGCCATCACCTCTGCCTTCAACTCCACTATCACCTTTGCCGTCACCTCTGCCTTCAACTCCGCCATCACCTCTCCTCTGCCTTCAACCCCGCCATCACCTCACCTTTGCCTTCAACCCTGCCATCACCTCACTTCTGCCTTCAACCCCGCCATCGCCTCTCCTCTGCCTTCAACCCTGCCATCACCTCTGCCTTCAACTCCACCATCACCTTTGCCATCACCTCTGCCTTCAACCCCGCCATCACCTCACCTCTGCCTTCAACCCC